TCTTTTCCTTACGGCAAAATCAATACTTTCTGTGATCTATGAAAGATGATTACAAAACTTGAGAGGGATGAACTATATAGAGACAGAGGTATGTAAATGTTTGTATTGTGTACTAATGTTTTTGACTCCATCTTAGCAGTAATGCTATAAGTAATTTTGTATGAAGTCAGATGTGTTTCATCAACCAAGGCCTCTGACCTGCTTATCTTCTCTTGTATATTTAAAATTTAAAAATAATTCATTATTCAACAATAATTTATTCAGAAGAACTAAGTGAATACATGCACATATACACATGCAAACACATTCACACACACAAACACATATACACAGAGTGCATATTTAAATGTTTGTAAATGATAGGATGGAAAATCATTCTTAATATTAATAGTAGGTTGATTTAAGTTCACTTTGTTATATATAATAAGGTTCTGAAACAATAATGCAGTTTAAAAACTCGGGAGGCAGAGCCAGGCGGATCTCTGTGAGTTCGAGGCCAGCCTGGGCTACCAAGTGAGTTCCAGGACAGGCGCAAAGCTACACAGAGAAACCCTGTCTCGAAAAACCAAAAAAAAAAAAAAAAAAAAAAGAGATCCCTAAAAATAAAAAAAAAAAATGTTTAGTTGTGTTAACCATTGGCAAAACTACATGAAAATAACAAATGATACTGCCATCCTAAGCACTGGTTCTGATATGAGGCTGTCGGAACATCCAGACCTCGATGTTGGGACTATAACTGGTACACCTGCTTTATGGAACTTATTGCCTGTGTCAGTTGAAGTTATTGTATATTTACCCTGTAGTAATACAATTCTGGTTCTACATAAACAGCTGAACAGAAACAGTGTCATCATTCTGCCAACACACAGAAGTCTCCAGGAGAGTTGTGCTTCTAGAAACTGAAGACTAGAAACAATGATCAAAATCCATATCTGAATTTTTATTTACCTAATAGGTTAACATTTAATATCTCAGTGTATTTTGCCAACATTTTTATATAACTGCACACTTTCTTGATGCGTATTAAGCACACGTTCTCACTATCATTGTAAGATCCTTCACTTTAGATTCCTCTGATGCACCGAGGCAGTGAATACACAAAAGAGGAAGAGCTAAGTTATGGTTTGAAAATATATATGAATTTGTTAAAGTGTTTGGGGACTCAAAAATATTACTGTCTGAGAGTGGTGATATTGTGCTCCCCAAAATATTGTGCACGCTAATAAACTTATCTGGGATCAGAGAACAGAACAGCCACAATATTAAACATAGAGTTTAGGCAATGGTAGCACACATGCCTTTAATCCTAGCATTGCAGAGGCAGAGATCCATCTGGATCTCTGTGAGTTCAAAGCCACATTGGAAACAGCCAGGCATGGTGACTCACAACTTCAATCCCAGGAAGTGATGGCAGAAAGCAGAAAGGTATATAAGGTGTGAGGACCAGGAACTAGAGCCTGGTTAAAATTTTAGGCTTTAGAGCAGCAGTTCAGCTGAGATTCATTCTGGATGAGGACTCAGAGGCTTCCAGTCTGAGGAAACAAGACCAGCTGAGGAATTGGCAAGATGTGGTTAGCTGTGGCTTGTTCTCCTTCTCTGATCTTCCAGCATTCACCCCAATAATTGGCTTTGGGCTTGTTTTTATTAATAAGACCTGTTAAAATTCATGCTAGCTCTGGGAATCCAATTAGCGAGAATGAGGAGGGTTTATATGAGCAAGAATTGTTGAGACCAAGGTTGGATAAAGCACAGGGACAAATAGCCAAACAAATGGAAACACATGAACTATGAACCAATGGCTGAGGGGTCACCAACTGGATCAGGCCCTCTGAATGGGTGAGACAGTTGATTGGCTTGAACTGATTGGGAGGCACCCAAGCAGTGGGACCGGGTCCTGTGCTCATTGCATGAGTTGACTGTTTGAAACATGGGGCTTATGCAGGGACTCTTGGCTCAGCCTGGGAGGAGGGTACTGGACCTGCCTGGACTGAGTCTACCAGGTTGATCTCAGTCCGTGGGGGAGGCTTTGCCCTGGAGGAGGTGGGAATGGGGGGTGGTCTGGGGGGAAGGTGAGGGGGGCCGGAGGGGGGAGAACAAGGGAATCCGTGGCTGATATGTAGAACTGAATTGTACTGCAAAATAAAAATAAATAAATAAAAAGTAAATAAAATAAAAAATATAACAAAAAAAGAAAAAACAAACAAACAAAAATTCATGCTACATCTGAGTTTTTGAACAGACATTTCTAATTCTAAAACTTATAACAATTTCCAGTGATGTGATCAGTTTTGCATTTGTTAAAACATTAGAAGCACAAATGGAGCAGAAAAGCACATCAACATAGGAGCAAAACTGTCAGAAAAAATAGCTGAACAAGAACCTTGGTTCTTGCCTCTGATTCACATTTGATTGGCAAGTCATTGATAGACTATAGATTTTCTGGGAAAACAAATTAATTTGTCATTATCATTATTATGACTCAAAAATATGAAATACTTTTTATGAATATTAATAAACATATTAATCAAAGTAAATTAAAGTTTTCTTTCAAAATTGTTCTAGATCATTTTCATATAAGGTTAGTATATAAGTATTTTCAATACAGAACCAAAAATGTTTCTCTCTTAGACAAATATAGGAGTGGATCTTGCCATGAGACATTCATTATTTACATATCTTACTTCCTCCCAAATAAGTGGCTGCACATAACTAAATGTTTTGTAGTTTCTCTTATTAAAATGTTCAAAGAAAATTAATTTATTTTGTTTTTATTAATTAAATGTGTTCTTTGACAGCTTTAGTCATGTATTTAGCACATCACATTCTGCTTATTCTCTTCCCATAATATATTCTTGGGAATAAAATTAATGCAGAAAATCACAACAGGTCCAAATACAAAGAGTGTTTATGGAGTATTCAGCCATGGATGGAATATCAACAACACAACCCACCCCCGCCACCCCTAAAGCTCAGAGAGCATCATGGAAGAAGGGATAGAAATGTAGTAAGATGAAGGAGTTGTGGAGACCAAGGGAAAATGAATGTTCTAGAAATGACAGTGCCTCTGCACTCATGAACCCATGGAAGCTGTCACTGCCAGCACAAGGTCTGCATCCAAGCAAGCCAACCAGCACTGGAGGGACTGAGGTGCTACTGATATGTTACGGCTGATGCAGAAGAGAGAGTCAGCTTTAAGGTTCTGGCCTCTTGGTTGATTAATCATGCTCTAGATGATGGCTCCCCACCAATAGGTGTATAGGCAGCACAAGCTGCATTCAGTGGGTCTAGAAAAATAAAATAAATAAGAGGACACAGAGTATAGAAAAGTGAATTAATAGGATAGAAAGTATCAGGGAGAGGTTACGGGGATGAGTCGGGTGGTGACTATGATCTAAATACATTGTATGCATGCATGAAATTCTTAAATAATTAATAAAATATTATATTTCAATTTTAAAATAATAATAAATAAAAGTTAAAACATAAAAAGAAGAGCACATTTATCTGATTCAGTCCTAGAGCTGTGTGTCTTTGTGTCAATCTCTATACATGCAAAACAAAGGTAAGCCAACAAATGAAGTCCTTTCTCCATTTCTTGTATCTGGCTCTTTTTCCTGGCCACTCATTTATTTAGAAATATATGAACTTTCCAGGGAAAAATATGTAGCTCATTCCTTCTGGTGGATTTCTTGTGAGTCTGGTAAGGAAGCTAGATAAAATTTATGGCATGCACACTAGGGTACAGCTGAAAATAAGTATAAACATTTTTCTATTTGATCTTTTTCAATGTCTTTCTTTATTGTATTTCATATGGAAATGTCAATGGAAATTATCAAACTAGAAAATACTTTATGAAAGTCATAAAGTGTTCATTTGCATTAAATTTCAGTCAAGAATTAGGGTGACTTGAGTCATGTTTCACCTCTGTCTAGTTCAGTTCCTATAGTACTTATTAGAAGCTCTGTGGCCATCTGAAAGGCCGTGTCCAGTATATGCCAACAAAGACAGGGGCTGGGCACAAACTGTACCCCAATGATGGTATGCTTGTCTTTATACAGAGAAACAGCATAGACAACTTCATGTTCAGTAAAGGTTATAAAATATAACTGGGGGATCAACAAAGGAGAAAAAAGTCTGCTAAATTCCTGAGTTACATGACAAATGATTATTAGTGGTGAGATGTCATAAACTTTAGAGTTTACAATACTTTATTGAAAAATAAGTTTTTCCTTTTCCACAAAGATTTCCACAAATTTCTTTAATTTTGTATGTTTTTCCATGTCTTACTATTTGACCTGAGCTAGCTTCAAACTCACAATCCTGCCTCGGCCCCTCAAGCACTGAGATTACAGGCATGTGCCACCATAACCAGTCTTGTACTTTATAAATATGTCAAATATATTTATTGCTGTACTTCTACTTTCACGGATGCTCATAGTGTTATTAAAAAAACTAGGATAGTTCCAAAATTTACTAAATACGAACCAGTGGAAAAAGAAATATAAAAGTAACTAAGTTTATCATAGAAATGGCACAAATGTAGAATTAGGAATTTAAGAGCTAAGTTTGAATTTCAAATAAACTTACATTTTACTGTATCTATAACTGAGCAATTCATTTTTTACAAATAGACACATAAATTATATTATGTGAAGAATTCCAGAGTCTGACAAATTAATTTTTAGGAATACTAATGAATAAAACAAAAGCTGGGTGAGTTAGCACACAACTGTAAACTCAGCACTTTGAGGCAGAGGCAGGGGAATCGTAAGTTACAGGTCATCCTGACCTACCACATGAATTCTAGGCTCTCGGTGCTACATAGGGAGACTCCTTCTCCAAAACACTCACGCAGACGACTAAACAAGCAGACGCAATGACAGGCAGTTTTTAAAAATTCTTACAGATCATTTTATGAATACTTAAATGGAATAAATTAAGAAACCTTAACTTAGAGAGCAGTCTTGAGTAACTATTCCTCCACATCTGGTCCATCTTACCTCTAGAACCAGTTGCTGGAGAGACGGAGATGCTACTGGATGTAGACTGGTGTTGCCGTGGACGGGACTATGGAGGCTAACGTAAGCCACGGCATTCTTTTGTAGAACCTTCGCGAAATCCTGAAATAAAAATGTTAGAAGTTCTACCATTGGTGCAATTAAAATGACATGTTCTACCTCATTAGGATAATAAATACTGTGATGTTCAAATACGTTTTTTTAAATCAGAAACATGCCTAAAATATTTTCTTATATGTTAAGGCTAACCCTTCTCCTATATGTAAACTTGTCCTCCAATCTTGGTTTATTCTGTTAGGCATAATCAGACTGCTGCTAAAGTAGTACTTATGTAAAATAATCACTTAAGAGAAAAGGGTTGAAAGGTTAGTTTAATGTTCAACTCAATTACAGAACAGAGATTAAGGATTTTCTTCAATGATGGTGTGCAATGTTATAGTCATTGAATTAGAGAACATAATTGGTGAGCTTCATTGGTTAGGGCTGGCAGACTTTTTCTGTGAAGTAGCAAGCTAATTTGCACCAATAAACTCTTATGTCAAGGAAAATTGGACAAGTAAGAACTGTGAACCTGAAAATATTACCTTATAAAAATCCTCAAGAATGCTGTATGTACTAATGGCATGAAATGACTCAGTGGCATGGTTTTGCATTTATGATCCCTGTCCTGCAATATTGAAGATTTCAGACCCCACACTGTGAGGAGAAAGAGTAGAGGGACTTATATCCTTGACTTCTCTCTACTTAATATTGGAAATTCATCTACAAATTGAGAGAGATGAGTAATTATTTAAAAGTAATTCACCTTTCACATGAGCACGTCATTAAAAACACTTCAGTAATTTCATATATAATATGGTAAAATTTGTCCAATATTACTTATATTCTATGAAAATAATTCTCATAACATGTGAACACATAGACAGTTCCTGTGAAACTAAGAGCACATAGACACTTCCTATTAATACATGAGCACATACACACCTCCTCTTAACACATGAGCACATAAACACTTCCTCTTAACACATGAGCACATAGATACCTCGTCTTAACACATGAGCACACAAATACTTCCTCTTTCAGTTAATATGGTTTCCAGGAGTACCACAGGAGACAGACATATACTTACTTGAGGAATCTAATCTCAGAGAACTCAAGTTTGTTAAAAATAACATGTCTATGATAGGAAAGATCTGATCTTATTTCCTTCCTCTAAAATTTGTAATAATTCCAGAGGAGCATGTGAAAAATATTCTTCATATAAGAAATGGTACTTTAAAAGATCCTGTTTTAGGAAATGCCTTAATTTCCCACAAGGATCAATGTCAGTACTGAGTTAATTCTTCCTTTCTTGCATGGCTACAATTACCATTTACAAGTTTATTGAGCAACTTCATCTAATCCTGTTAACTTCAACTGGTTTCAGGGGTTCCTATGCAAGCAAAATTACAGAGGGCAAGATGGGACATGAACAAAGCTTTTTCTTGCTCACCTGCATTCAGGATCAATATAAACAAAAGTGTTTTCATTCTCAGAAGGCACATATTGCATAAGAGTAAACAGAATGAACAACCAAGAGTCCACACTTCCCTTCAAATGGATGGCATTGAAATTTTTCTATGGGATATGGTGGTGCAATATATTATATAGAAAATTACAGATACATTTTTATTAGCCAATGGTGAACTCCAAAAATCCTTGATGTTTTTATTATTTATATCTTTGTGCATCTACTCATTGAAGAGTTCAGAAGGTAACTAAATGTGTAAATTTGCTCGGTTTTACACACACACATGAGAGAGAGCAACCTACATATATATGTATATTTAGTTAAATATAAACACATTTGTATGTATATATACATATATATGTATATATATGGTTAATAGAAATATAATTATATCACTTTCCCTCCATCTGTTCTTCCCTCCACCTCTCCCAGGTACCCTCACTCCAAACCTTCCCATGTCCCTAATCCATCCTTAAGTTGACAGCCTATTTTTCTTTGATTATTATTGCTACATTCATACACATGTATATGTATGAACAAATATATAACTGCAACCTGCACAGTCTATTGTTGTTGTTTGTGTGTATATAAGTAAGTTTTCTATTCCTTTGAACTCATATCCCATAGCAGATTTATATTTAGTCTCTGTTGAGAAGTCACAGAATTGTCAAAAGGAACAATGAATTCACAAAGTGCTTAAAAGGAATTTATATTTTATGATGCACAAACTATTTATATAGTTTGAAAAAATTGCTCCTATACATACAAATAATTATTTACTTAATTTTTAGCCTGTGATGACTGACATTTAAATACTTCCAAGGAATTTTTGCAATATAATTCTCTATGAATTTGTGTTTAAGGTAAGTAACTTAGGAAATAATGTAAGAAAAACCTGTTTTGTGGATGTGGTCTATACATACATATTTATACATACAATATAAATTAATTATGAAATTTGCTGTGGGATGTTCTGTATGTCAAATGTGTTGCTGATTGGTCAATAAATAAAACACTGATTGGCCATTGGCTAGGCAGGAAGTGTAGGCGGGACAAGGAGGAGAATAAAGCTGGGAAGTGGAAGGCTGAGTCAGAGAGACACTGCCAGCCGCCATGATGACAAACAGCATGTGAAGATGCCGGTAAGCCACGAGTCATGTGGCAAGGTATAGATTAATGGAAATGGATTAATTTAAGCTGTAAGAACAGTTAGCAAGACTAACTGCTTAGTTAGTCTGCCACGGCCATACAGTTTGTAACCAATATAAGTCTCTGTGTTTACTTGGTCAGGTCTGAGTGGCTGTGGGACTGGCGGGTGAGAGAGATTTGTCCTGACTGTGGGCCAGGCAGGAAAACTCTAGTTACACATAATGGAAGCTGTTTAGAAACATTCTTTAAGATGTTAACACTTATTGGACTAGAGAGGGTATAAAGTAGGATCTTACTGAGTTAGTACTTTGAGGAAGGTGGGCAATGGGCTCACACAGTGCTATAAAGCAAACAGTGAATGGAGAGGTGGAGGGAGAGACTGAGAACTTGGGAGGAGAAGAGGAGTCAGGGTAATTGAAAAGTTTTCAGAAAGAAGTCAGAAAACAATTGCTGAATCTACATACAAATTCCACACAACAGCATATTCCCCATCCAGAAGTCCACGAGGAAACCAAGTTCCTCTTTTATTACATCCTTCAGGAGCTGACTTACTTGGGATAAGGGCCCTCAAATAAGTCTGGGACTTTACCTTCCAGACCTTTGACCCAAGCTGGAAAATGAGAATCTATATGAGTAAAACATGGAAAATTCATTTGTTCAAGAAATATCTCAGCTCTCTTGTTAGGTAGTGAGCTAGGCGCTGGCCCCGTGGTGTTGAGCAAAGGGTGATGGGAAATGACAAACAAGCCAAATGTAAAACATACGGTCGTACGTACCAAGGAAAGATGGAAAGCAAGAAGGCACTAGGGATTCCCAGGGAAAGCTGGGAATGGTGCATGACTTGAAGAGGAAGGTCATAGACAGCCTCATGAGTGACAAGAAGCAAGATGTGAAAGTTTTTAGGGAGCAATGGAAAGAACAAAAATAGAAAATTGAATTACAGTTTTATTGTTTTGTAATTATTTAAAACAGTACAAATCCATAAAAATGCAAAAAGATTTTTTTAATTGTTTTGTTTATCTTGAAGTTATTAAATAAATTTTAAAATTTTGTTTCAGAGGCTATGGTTTTTCCTCCTGGAATTTAGAAAGCGTCCCAAACAACAGAATGTCTTCATTGGAAGTACACTTTTTGAAATAGAACCTTCTCACACTCACTCGAATATGCTGAAATCATCTCCTCCAAGTACTCTGTGAGTCTTGTCCAGCTTACTTACACCAGAGGATATTTTCTCAGTAGTAAGATTATTTCCCTTTTTAAAAGTACATGGGGGTCTTTCTTTGTTTAAAGATTATTTTTTTATTTCATGTGTGTTATCCCCTAAGTGAAAGTATACTGATCAAGTAAACATTACTGCAAGTGATATGAAGGTGCATAGGTCTGCGAGCAATGGAAGAAGGTTAATTTTAGATCATGTAGAACCCACAGAGGAATAACTCAAATTTCCTCCTAGCAGTTAGCAGATAGGAAGCCCTTTTGAGATGTTCATCATTTTCTTTGCCTTCAATAATATTAGACTATAACATCTGGAAAATGAAAGAGTTGGGGGAAGGAAGTAAACTAATCATAATTAATGAATTTATTTCACCTCTCCCCATTCATAGGAGCCAATATTGCCCCAAGTCGTTCCTCCCCATGAACAGAAAACAATAGTGCGTTCTGGTCTCCATCCTTTCTTCACTCGTAACATCAAGGCTTGGATGAACGCAGTGATTATTGCAGTACTGCTGGCCCATTCGTGTCCATTGTAACTGTATCCAACATGGTGGTTACTGCCAACTATAATATACCGGTCTGGAAATAGAATGAAATAAGAACTGTTAAGTAAAATGTAATCCTCAACAATAAGTTTAATGACATTTACACAAGCCTATTGCACAAGTAAGCAACAATTAAGCCAAATTGTTCTGATAATTAATACCACTTTAGCATTTTCCACCCCTTTCTTGATTCATACATCTGGGTATATCAATGCAGAAGCAGCTGCTAACGTCAATTATGAATCCAAAGCTTAGGTCCATATTACTGTCCTCTGCGACATGAAATATTAATTAATGAAGTATACAAATATATACACAATGAAACTCTTATCTAACATTTTTCCAGCATCATTGTGGGATGTGCACAGCAAACAATGTGTGTGTGCTTAGTGAAGAGCAATAATCTATTAATACATCTCCAAAAAAAGGTGACTTAGGAGCTCTGCATGTTAAAAATTTGCTAGTTATGTACAGACTTTGTAAAAAGAATAGGTATTTCGGGATGTACTAATAGTTTCAATTTATACTTTTAACCCTTCTCCATTCTCTAAAAGAAAAGAAAATTCATCACCATCAAGCCAGGACTATGGAAAATTTAACTTTTCATATATTTTATTTCATGTGGTCACACACAGTTTATTAGATGTTCCTGTAGGAAACTTTCCATGATTCATGGATATGGTACTTTCAGAATGTTTCACTGGCCATTCACACCATTAAAACAGGATTAAAATATAGCTCCAGAGCCAGGCGGTGGTGGCGCACGCCTTTAATCCCAGCACTCGGGAGGCAGAGCCAGGCGGATCTCTGTGAGTTCAAGGCCAGCCTGGGCTACCACGTGAGTTCCAGGAGAGGCACAAAGCTACACAGAGAAACCCTGTCTCAAAAAACCAAAAAAAAAAAAAAAAAAAAAAAATATAGCTCCAGAGTTCTCCTGTTTTTTTTTCTGTTTTTGTTAATTTTTGTTGTTGTTGTTTTGTTTTGTTTTGGTCAGTTTATGTTATTCACAATAGCAACAGAGTTTACTTTATTTGATCAAATAACCCTATGTATTTATGAAAGAACATTCTCATCATTGTTTGATACTGAGATATTCCATGAAACTATACAGACAGGGTTCAGCAAGAAGACACTGCAACTTCAGTTTGATTCTGGAAACCACATGGTGAGAGGAGTGCCATGACATCTGCAAACTGTCCTCTGACTTGTATATCTTACAAGTTGTACCCTCCCCTGATTATACAAGAGAGATATATATATATAAGAGATACAAATATCAATGTGATTTTTGAAAAGTATTCCATAAAGTATGCATAAAGTAGGGCCTACATCTACTTGGATTAAATAGATTATCCTCAACGACATGAGGACAAAGATTGTTAGAAGAATTATGGTATAGAATCATTTAAGTTTTTAATACTGAATTGGAACCAGCAATGAATTTAAATCTTTCAGCACAGTGTGTTAAGTCATACTTCATGGGATATAGGGATATATGCAACATTATGTAGGTATATATTCAAACATTAAACGCTTGAGCGTTTTTTTCTCACATCTTCCAGAAATGTCTAAAAATTCTGCTTGAGATGAACTGTATCCCAAATAAATTAACAATCAATGTATGTGTCTGGACTTTAGCATCAGTAAATAAGAAAGTTTCGTGAATAAGCAATCTTTTTTTTTAACAGAGATTTCATATTAAGCACTATTTGAGAATTTTTGCATATAAAACTTTTTTTGATAGATTAAAATTCCATTAGCATGAATCTGGTATACTTTTTTCACAATTGTGTTTTCTTGTGATGATTTACAAATGGAATAGATCACTTCTCATTCTTCAGTTGGACTTGCTTATAGTAAAAGCCATTGAAATTGGCCATGTGGATTTCTAAGTTTATTTGTGTCTGTGTCTAAGGATTCTGTGATGACAAGTTGTACAATAAAGGAACCATGGAGAATAAACACATTGTATGAAATTTTTAAGAGCTGGCTGTCAAGGAATAGGGAGGAAATAAAACTTGATTTCAAAATTCTCTGGGTCAGCAATTAGGTCTAGTGCCATAGAGAAGAATAATTCTCCAAGGAGAGATGAGCAGTGTTCAAGTCATATCCACAAAAGTGGTTTGAGCACAGTAAAACGTTAATGGTGCTCTGGGGATGGCAGATTATCTGAGTGAGTTAAAGTACTTAGCCCACACACCCAGTGTTCTGAGACCAATCTCTGGAACCTGTGATGGAAGGAGAGTATTTATCCCTGAAAGTTGACCTAGGATGGTCACACACCCACCATGACACTGCTGTGCCCACACTCTCTCTCACACGTGTACATAAGAAATGAACATCTAATACCATAAGAACAGTAGTCAACTGCGTATGTTCTCCTGGCCACTCTGTGATTTGGGATCCAGGCTTGTGATGAATCAGAGTGTGCTGGCATTAGCCTGGTTACTGATAATGAACCAAATACTTTCATTTTTAATTTTTAGACCAAAGATTCCACCAACAGTTCATAAAAAGGTATAAGTTATTTAACATCTAACCAGATAATAATTTCCATAAAAGACCTTTCAAACCCCAAAACAGATATTGGGAGGAACTATGAGTGGATAATATATTCAATCTGGGGCAGATATTGACATTAGAAGCTTTTGATTTGACATTAGAAGCTTTTGATTTGAGACCAAAACTTGATTTGTTTTCAACAACTGCATTGTTAAAACCTATGAAATTTTCTTTTAAAGTATTTTGTCATTGAACTAAAATTTTCCATAGTATCATGGTAAGAAAATAAGAAAAATATTGCCTTTTGATTTTTATCTCAGGTTAACAGATATAAATGCCACCTCTTGTCTCCTTCCCTTAGCCTTTACACATACTCTGCCTGCTAATGCTTATTTTTGATGAGATGTGGGAGGAAAAAAAGGAAAACATACTTCAAGCTTCCATATTAATCCATTATTTTAGTCATCTAAACCTCTAGCTACATATAAAGTAGGATATTGAACTACATTCCAAAATAATTATGGAACATGGAACATTTTTGGCCTTTTCATATGATTTAGGAACTAGATTATAACTACTTAATCCAACTTACCTGGTGATGTCAAGCCTTTTAGATATCCAACAACATTAGTCACTGTTTTAAATTTTGTGACTGTATGAACTTGCAAACGGACAGTTCTTTTTTCTGTAAAAAAAAAAAAAAAAGAAATTAAAAACACTTATCAATATTGTCATGTTTCCCCCAAAGCGTTAGAAGTCATTTATCCAGTATCATCAGTAAAAATAACTCCACATGATTCACCTTTTTCAGATAGCTAAAGTCATACTTTTTTTTGCCAAACATTAAGAATATTTTATGCACACTCTATTTTTGGGGATTTGTCTTGCTATGGTCACCATGACATAACTGCCGGCTTCCTGCTCTGAAAGCTGTAAAGAGACAAGCCTGAATCTCATTTTTATTCCAGCACAGGGTCCAACATGAGAACGCACAGGAAACTGCTGCGGGGGAGGGTGTTCAGGAAAGTTACAGCTTGCAAAAAAGAGAGTAAAAAAAGGCAGATACAATTATCTCTGTGAATGTTAATACCTTCCTGTCTTCGGAACAGGAGGGTAAGACAAACACACATTTTCTTTGTGTGACTCACTATTGTATCAGCATTGAAAATTGTACATAAAATACTTTACAAAGTATTATCCCTAAAGCCTATATTCATATAGTACAATCTATTTTCATAGATTATATAATAAACCCCCACTAACTTCTTTTTTATTTTAATTTTTTCTTTGTATTGATGTTTTGCTTGCACGTGTTCTCGTGTCCGGTGTGTGCACTGCCCATGGAGGTCAAAAGAGGGCACTGAATCCCTAGAGGCAGGAGTTGGTAATCTGGGGATGGTTATTTTGTTTGGTTTAGCTCGGAACTCACTTCCTTGGGGCTGGCAGGATGGCCCAGCAGGCAAAGCATTTCTTCCTAGACTGATGATCTGAGTTCCATACCTGGGCCCCACGTGGTGGAAGGAGAGAACTGAGTTCAGGAAGTTACATGAAGATACATGTAACATGGTTCTTATGTGCCCCTTCCAATAAATAAATAACTGTAATATAATTTTTAAGAAGGTTAAAAGAATTTCTTACTCTAATTACATGAAATTCACATGCTCTTCAAGTATTTGAAACACTGGAACTGGATTTTTTTTTCAGATTGATATCTTTGACAGTGATGTCTTGGGCAGTGGAAAGCAAATTGTTACTAAATAATTTATTGTGTAGTTTGTCTTACTACAGCTGCTACCATATAGATTTCTAATATACATGGGTTTATTTTTAGTTTTGTTGTTGCATTGCTGTTTAACCTCTGTCCTAGTGTTTTAATGAATATAATCACATCACCATCATACAATTACTTTCTGAATTTGACTGTACTGATGGACTGCTACTTTCATACGAACTTTAATGTTAACTTTTTAAGTTTCATGTTTTTGTTTGTTTGTTTATTTTTCCATTAGGATTGCAAGGCACTAATAGACCTATCTGAGGAAATGATGCTCACACTTTAGTTCACAAACATGGTATACTTCCTAGTTGATTTCACTTGCCTTTATGTCTGTCTAGAGTTTTATATTTTCTCAACAGTTTTGTACAACTATTATTGAATTTATTTTTATTGTTTCATACCTATTTTTTTCTAACAATCTATTTTGCAGGAAGAATGTCACTTATTTTTATACTTTTGATTTATAATGAACTGTATTGCTAATCTTCAATATGTCACAGTTGCTTATCCATAGGGTTTTTAAAAAAATATATAAATTTTTTAATTGATTCTCCATGAATTTCATATCATGAACCCTAATTCTACTCATTTCCCAGTTTTTCCATGTCTGTCCTCTACCCTTGTAGTGGCTTTGAGAGCTGCAGTATGTCATGCCATATACCTTTTGTCCAAACAGCTTTCCTTACAAATGTTTATTGCAATGAGTAATTGGTCTGGCTCAAGTCCTTTGGCTTCTGCTACACTGGACCCTCATCCAGATTCTATGGCTATGATTCCCTAGGACCAGTCCCTTCATGCACTCTAGCAAGTCATGGATGAGGTAGATGTTGCAGAGGGCCAACCCAAAGCCCTGCATGTGGGCCTATGTAGTAGCTGAGTAGGTAAGCCCAGATTTCCACTAAGACACTCCTCCCCTGGAGAAGCAGAGCAAGCTCTCCCTTGCCCTTGCCACTGGGGCCAACTCTCCCATGAGGGATGGGACCAGCTCTCCCAGGGCCAGTGAGGGGCAGGGCCAGATCGCAAGGCTCTTGGACATCAACATGGCCTCAGGTGGCAGTCTAGACCATAGACATCCTCATGGCTTTGGGTGGTAACACAGGCCACAGACGTCAACATAGAAGCAGTAGGACCACAGACCTAGACACGGTATTTGACAGCAGCACTGGCCTGGATATCACCACAGCCTCAGGTGGCAGTGCAGACTATTGGCGTCAGCCTGTCCCTCACTGCTGTCACATCTCCAGTTCACAGCTCTCCACAGCACCTGAACTGCTCTGCTTTTTTTTTTTCTCTTCCATCTGTACACCACATACGTGCTCACTGTAGTGGCACCCATTCTGCCTGGCCCACACAGCAGGGGCACAAGCTGGGGCTGTGGCCTCTCAATAACTGGGGTTCTTAATTTTGATAGTTTTCCATGAAGACAAATCCTCTCATCCTTTTATGTGTATACATATGAGTGTCCGTTTGTACACACATATATGAACATGAGCATACCTATGTGAGTGCACATGTGGAAACCAGAGGTTGTCAACAGGTTGACATATGGTATCATTCGCTATTATTTTTCTTTTTATTGATTTTTCAGGTATATGTGTCTGAGGCATGTGTGCATGTGTGTGTACTTGTGTGTGTGTGTGTGTGTGTGTGTGTGTGTGTGTGTGTATCTGAGTGTATGTCTATGCATGTGCACACAATTGTGTGTGCCTGAATTTGGAGGCCTGATGTTGATATCAGGAATCCTTCTAGATCACTGTCTACCTTATTCATTGAAGCAAGATCCCTCAGCTGAGTCCATCGCTACATGATATGGCTGGTTTCACCAGCCAGTTTGCTCTGTGGATTCAAAAAGCGGGAATTACTGGTAAGTTGATATGACCAATCGGTTTTTACTTGGATTTTGGGAATACAAACTCCATTCTTCACACTCATACGTCAAGTGTCTGGCCACGGAGCTATCTTTCTAGCCCCCCTTTCATTGCTGAGCTATCTTCTCTGTCTCCCTTTCCTTTCAGACAAGGCCTCTCACTTAACCTCAGGCTCACCAGCTAGCTAGACAGGCTGATAAGCAAGTCCCAGGGTCCTGCTCTGTCTTCCTCCCAAGGCTGCGATCACAGATACTCCCCACTGAGCCATCTGCTTAGCCTCCTCGCTTCCTCCTAGCCACCTATCATTTTGTCCTGGAGCCCATGCAGAGAGAAATGGAGCCAAAACAGTGTCCTTTCGTCTTTACCTTCTATTATTAACTTAAGCAGAATGTTTTTACCATTTTATCTTTTAAAACATTCTTGATATATGTTTCTGGGAAATTCCTTTTATCAAATTAAGAAATTCATTTCTATTCTTATTTTGCTAAGAGGTTTTCCCATAAGCAGATATTGAGTCATCTATGGAGATAGCTGGAAGCTTTTCACTTTACAGTGTTTACAGATATGTACATTTCTGGAATGAACTCTACTTTGTCAAGACGTCCTATAGTTGGTGATATTTTCACACACACACACACACACACACTATATATATATATATATATATATATATATATATATATATATATACACACACACATATATACATACATACATATATATACACATATACATATGCATGCATTTATTTGGTAACTTTACATCTCTTTTATTCTAGATTACTTTTGATATGTGGATTATATAAACTTCCAAATATTTTAGGGGTCTTTTCTTCCTCTTACAGATTCTGTAAGATTATGAAAAATGCATACTATCATGTGTACAAAAGGTAGGATTCAAATTCAAAATATGAAATTTTTTTCTTACTATTATATCAAATATATATTGATTTCTCTCAGAGGATAACATCATCTCTGTTATAGGTTCTCAGGAGCTATCCATTTATTTTTGATGCAGGATCTCTGAATGAGCAGGAACCTATGAAGGAATTTAGGCTTGCCGGACAGAGATCCTTAGAAATGTACTTTCTTACTTTTCTCCGCCTTCCTAGTATTGGTATCATAAGCAGGCACTTCCTCAGTAGGCTTTGTTACACGGTTTCCCGGGATAGAATTTGGATTCTTATGCCTTTGTTACAAACACTTTAGCAGATGAACTATCTCTCCACTCTCCAAAATGTTGTATATTTCTTATGAATTAAATCTATATGAAATTTTTCCTAAAGTCTTCTCCTTTACAACTCAACTAAATATTAATACAATCAACCAATCTTGCCTTTGGTTCGTATCCCTCTGGTGAATTTCCCCACAATGATTGTTTGTGCTATGAAGAGTAGCTCTGCCTAAGCTCACAGTTTCTTGATGCCGAAAGCGGAAGAGGCACCATTAGAGTATTAGTTCACCAAGACTGAGAGCCATTGCTCTATTTATACTACAGTCCTTCCACTCATAAAATGACTTTGTTAAAAACCACTTTGCAAAGAATGGGTCCAAATAGTGAAATAGTAACATAGCAAAAAAGATACATTTCTTCTATTTGTTTATATTCTCATGTGTATGTCCCAATGAATACTAATGTATTGTTCTTTATCCATATTTGAAAATACACATATACAGTCTATTTTCTTTCACTCAAACAACACCGTGATCATGCTTTAAATTTTAGTAACAAATCTCTGTGAAATTTTTGATAAACTAACGTTCTAAAGTTCCATTTACCACTGCTGCCATTACTAAAGCAAACAGTTCACTGTCGAGGCAAAGCGCTGTTCATAGCAGCAACAACAGACATCCTATATTTTGGACAAGGAATAGTGTAGCTCTTTAAAGCACGATCTATAGTAGAAATTAAAGAAGGCAACAAAAGTACCTCAAGTGGGAAAATGGTTTAGAAGATAATGATAAATATGTGAATGTTCAAATGTGAAAGGATTTTTTAGAAACATGAACACAGCATGTGTGATCACACATAGGACACACA